CTTCCTGCTCCTCTGATGCTGCTTGGCCTGCTGTGTTCATCCAGCTCCACACCTTGTTATCTCAGATTCTCCAGCATCTGCAGTTCCTACTCTCTCTGAAACAATTTTAACCCCACTGCAAAGCCTCTTCTAAGGATGCCTACCCTGAAGAAGTTACCCTCCTCTCACCGGAAAAACCTCAGTGGATCTCTCTCCCACTGCAACTCTCTCGTAATCTCTTCGGCCTTGAAACTGCTCGACCACGTCCTGAAGCAAACCAGGTACTACAGCCACATCACCTTTCTTAGTACCTGCCTACGGAACCAGATCATCCCCACTGGACTGTAGTCCACATTCAGGCCTTGCCAATTTGGCCCCAACTGTGACAATATCTACATTCAGAACATTTGAGATCCTTCAGAAGCATTTCTCCCTGCGACTTCTGAAACACACATTCGCAGCAATGCGCCGGCATCTCCTGGCACTACAATCAAGCCTACCCCAGCTCAGAGCCTCCCTTTCCCAGACCTGCAAAGGACCTCTCCTGTTTTTTATTCTTCGTAGGATCCACAACCTGAACTCAGATTTAAATTCAACTGGCGTTCAATTGTTAAATTAATTGGCTGATTCCATCTCGTTGCCAAAACATCAAAACATGGTTTCCGATCGCACAGCCAATTGATACATGTTTCCATTTTAGAACTGGTAGTTCATCTTCAGCTACATACAGACTTTTCTTTTCCTCTGTATAAATCTCTAAGCTTAGAAAAGCACTTTATCTCTTAAAGGGACCACGCATTGTTCTCTCTTATCTTTTTTTTAACAAATAAATTCTAGCTTCCTGCCTTCCAATTCACAATTGCACTACACAACTTCATAACATCTTTTCCCTTAAGAAAAAAAGACCATCATTATGAAGAGATGACTTCATTTAAAGAAAATCTTACCGGGTCCCTAGTGCTGTGAGGCAGCAGTGCTAACCACTGAGCCACCGTGCCGATCTTTGCATGAATGACTACCTGGTGGCTCAATTAGTCAGTCCTGCCACAACTTTGTTCATAAGTCTTTGATAAGTGGCTGGTGTGTTCTTCGTTCCAAAGGGCATTACTTTAAATTGATACAGCCCATTTGCTTTACAAATGCAGAAACCTCCTTCACTCTCTCCAACAAAGGTACTTG